TAATTATAAATCATGGTAGTGTTTGTTGTATTGCCATAAATAAATTGCATTACAGTTAAGTTTGAGTATAAAATAATAAAAAAGGTAAATAAATTGCATTACAGTAAAACCAGTATAAAAAATAGAAAATGTGATTTAAATAAATAAATCGCATTAAAATAAATAGCATTACAGTTAATTTTGAGTACAAAATAATAAGATTTATGTAAATAAATTGCATTACAGTAAAACCAGTATAAAATAATAGAAAATATGATGCAAATAAATTGCCTTACAGTAAATTGTGAGTGTAAAAATAATACATTTTGATGTAAATAAATAGCATTACAGTAAATTTTGAGCATAAAATCATAAACAAATGATGTAAATAATTTGCATTACAGTAAATTCTGAGTATAAGATAACAGAAAATAGTATAAGAAATGTCAATGAGAAACACCTTAGTGGAAATAATGGGAATTACAAAATAAAATGAAATACAATTATATTAAAAGCAATAGGGCATCATGTTAGTGCACTTAAATCTAAAGGTAAAAAGGAAATAAAAAGATGAAAGCATAAAATATAAAAAAATTAAATAAAGTAAAATAGGGGGAGAACGTGACGTATATGTCATGAGAATATACATAATATAAAAAAAAATGTCTTCAAAAGTAATGCAAAAGGTAGTTTACATTACATTAGACGCCTTTTTACCAAGACCTACATTCCATTTAGCCAACGTAAATACACAAAAACCTTATTTAATGCCCACGCACCTGTCTGTCCTCTATCTCCTAAACCTACAGACACACAGTGTTCCTGCAGCTCAAACAGACACGTCTATCATCAGGATGGCCTCTGTTCTGTGGTCAGCGGAGGGGGAAAGAAAGAGGAACTTACTGGGATTAAACACAAAAGCCTTGCGTTGACAGTCTCCCTGTGTCACCCCTGAGCTATCACTGCTATTGTTGTCCTTATTTACCATTTTTACTGATTGGGAGGGGTGTGGGGGGGTCCACAGTGTGTAATTTGCCCAGTGGGAGGTAATTATACTCCCATGGCACTTTGATCTTCCTGACTGTGCATTTGACTGGCCGGGCAATCAGCTCCATTCAAAGGTATCCCAGCATGGCTGGCGTCCCCCCTCTCCTTTACTCTCTCTGTGACTCTCCACTACAGACAAACAGATTACAATGACAGCTCTTAAAGGGATAATCTTTAAAGCTGGAGTGTAATTGATGTACAATGGAGGTAAAGTAAAGGAGGTTGACTGAGAGGATATAGACGTGTGATATGTTAACTGTGAGAGGGACACGTCACCCCCGTCATCTTAATGCTATGAGATTCATAAACACCTGAATGCTTTGTGAGTGTAAAAATAATACATTTTGATGTAAATAAATAGCATTACAGTAAATTTTGAGCATAAAATCATAAACAAATGATGTAAATAATTTGCATTACAGTAAATTCTGAGTATAAGATAACAGAAAATAGTATAAGAAATGTCAATGAGAAACACCTTAGTGGAAATAATGGGAATTACAAAATAAAATGAAATACAATTATATTAAAAGCAATAGGGCATCATGTTAGTGCACTTAAATCTAAAGGTAAAAAGGAAATAAAAAGATGAAAGCATAAAATATAAAAAAATTAAATAAAGTAAAATAGGGGGAGAACGTGACGTATATGTCATGAGAATATACATAATATAAAAAAAAATGTCTTCAAAAGTAATGCAAAAGGTAGTTTACATTACATTAGACGCCTTTTTACCAAGACCTACATTCCATTTAGCCAACGTAAATACACAAAAACCTTATTTAATGCCCACGCACCTGTCTGTCCTCTATCTCCTAAACCTACAGACACACAGTGTTCCTGCAGCTCAAACAGACACGTCTATCATCAGGATGGCCTCTGTTCTGTGGTCAGCGGAGGGGGAAAGAAAGAGGAACTTACTGGGATTAAACACAAAAGCCTTGCGTTGACAGTCTCCCTGTGTCACCCCTGAGCTATCACTGCTATTGTTGTCCTTATTTACCATTTTTACTGATTGGGAGGGGTGTGGGGGGGTCCACAGTGTGTAATTTGCCCAGTGGGAGGTAATTATACTCCCATGGCACTTTGATCTTCCTGACTGTGCATTTGACTGGCCGGGCAATCAGCTCCATTCAAAGGTATCCCAGCATGGCTGGCGTCCCCCCTCTCCTTTACTCTCTCTGTGACTCTCCACTACAGACAAACAGATTACAATGACAGCTCTTAAAGGGATAATCTTTAAAGCTGGAGTGTAATTGATGTACAATGGAGGTAAAGTAAAGGAGGTTGACTGAGAGGATATAGACGTGTGATATGTTAACTGTGAGAGGGACACGTCACCCCCGTCATCTTAATGCTATGAGATTCATAAACACCTGAATGCTTATACACTTTTTAGTAAACAATAAATAAATAAAACACTGAAAGTGAGATTAATTTACTTTTCAGGTCAAATTACTTTTTAATTGCCTCATGCAAACTGCAGTTCAGTTACTTACTACACAATTTATTTGTATATGTTTCCTCTGAGCACACAGCAGAATTGCATTGAATTACAAAATTCATTTAACAACAAACTATTTTTGCAAACTGTTTTCTAAACTACTTTCTCTATAAACTACTATTTGTAAACTGTCATTTGTAAAATATTTGTAAACCAGCTTTGTAAACTACTTTTAAATTACCTTATTTGTAAACTTTTTCTAAACTACTTTCAAACTAGTTTATTTATATATTATTATTTGGAAATTATTTCTAAACTACTTTTGTAAATCATTTTGTTTAAACTACCTTATTTGGAAACTATCTCTGAACTACTACTTGGCAAGAATTTCTAAAACACTTCAGCAAACTCTATCTAAACTACTTTAATTTGGAAACTATATCTAAACTACCTTTGTAAATTACTTCTATTACTATTTTATTTGTAAACTATTTCTATACTACTATGAAATGAGTATTTGTAAACTATTTCTAAACTAGTTTTGTAAACGAGTACTAAACTCATTTGAAAACTATTTTTGAACTACTTTTTGGAAGCTAATTCTGAACAATTTTATTTGGAAACAATTTCTAAACTACTACATGAAAACTACTTCTAAATTGGTGTAATGAACTATTTCTAAACTATCTTATTTATAAACTACAATTTGGAAACTATTTCTAAACTGCCTTTCTAAACTACTTTATTTGATTTATTTGAATATACTCTATGGAAACTGCTTCTAAACTACTATATGGAAACTATTTCTAAATTATTTTTATAAACTTCTTCCAAACTGCTATTTGTAAATGATTTCTAAACTGCCTTTGTAAACTACTATTTGGAAACTACTTCTAAACTACTATATGGGAACTATTTCTAAATATACTTGGAAACTACTTTAAAATTACTTTATTTGTTAACTATTTCTAAACTCTTTTTTTAAACGTATGTAAACTACTGTGTGCAACCAGATTTGCTTGAAGTCAGAGGTTGTATGTGACACTTGTCACAGGGATGATGTCTGTTCAATGTGACAATGCTAATCTCTGGCAGGGGTTAAAGGTTAAGGCTAGGGTTAATTTGAAAATTGAATCAGAGGCTCAAAAAAGAACAAATGAATGAACAGCTCTACTAAAGAAAAATAAATATTTGACAGTTACTCCGTCAAGAACTAGCGCTAATTACCAAGACGAATCCTTTCAATACCACATTAGCTCTTTCTGACGTCAGACGTCAGGGTATTTCGCTAAACGGAATTCAATTTGTTCAAACCCATACAATAAAAAAATTAAAACTGATTAATGTAGAATGTAAAGAATATTAAACATTTGTTTCTCATGAATGTTAAAGGTTGCCAAAAGTTTCTGTACATTATTTAAAAAAAAACAAAAAAAAAAACAGTTCTAAATCACAGTCAATGGAATCAAACAGAAAAAAGAAGCAAAAAATAAATTATCAGGAATTTTAAAGGACACAGTTTCATAAATTATTTTTAAAAATCATGGATACTCAAATGCACCAAACACAAATTTTCTTGTCAAGGCAAAATGTGGCTAAAAAAAGACAATTATTAAAAAATAAATTAAAATAATATTAAATAAATTATATATATATATATATACACACACACACACACACACATATATACTGTATACACACACACTTAAGAAAATATAAAATATAAAAATGATATATCCAACATAAATAAATTATTAAAATCATGGATACTCAAATGCACCAAACACAAATTTTCTTGTCAAGGCAAAATGTGGCTAAAAAAAGACAATTATTAAAAAATAAATTTAAATAATATTAAATAAATTATATATATATATATACACACACACACATATATACTGTATACACACACACTTAAGAAAATATAAAATATAAAAATGATATATCCAACATAAAACCAAAATAAACACTAAATAAGAAATTTAAGGGCAATATTCAAAGACAATATTTCCTAAAATGTAAGTTCATGGACTTTCAAACACATCATGAGAAGAGCAGGCCAAAGACGGAGTACCAATTTCTTACAGTGTTGAAACTGATTCACAAAAAAGCAAAGAGTATGTTGTTGGTTACCAAATTATTGTGATATGCATATCACGAAAATAATTACAATATATAATAAAATTATAATAATATACATATAATTCGGCAATCTGCATACCAACTACCACCATTACGAACCCGGGTTAGATAGAATAAGCAAACATAAAGTTAAACTGTGTTCCACTGACATCTGTTGGTCGCACAAAGAAACTGACTGAGAAAGCCTAAAACAATCAAGTTCATAATTTCAAAGTCTTTAAAAAGTTTGCATGCACTTTTAGTGCTGACACACACAAATTTCATATATATATACATACAAAAACCCTTAGGATATTGACATTTCACTAATCCTCATAACTGGTCTAAAGTTCTACCCTATAACAGTGTACTTACCTCATATAATGAGCATACGAATGCGGTGACGTACCTGTTTGATGGGTATGGCCCTTCCACTCCCTATACTGTCAGTTTTACTCTCAATGCTCTTTGTCTGATCACTGGCTTTCCGTGACTGCAAAGAAACAAGACAAGATGTCAGTGCAAAGAACAAACTGGGAACACACATGGAGGTGGGGAGGGTGTGTGTGTGTGTGTGTGAGTTGTGCCTTAACTCTAGTGTGTGTGTGCGTGTGTGAAGTGTAGTGAGTGTTGGTGTGGTGTGGTGGGGGACAACATAAATTCGCAAGAAAGAGGCTCAAATAAACGCGCAAGCAGAACAGTGCAAACATACAGCAGCACATTGAACGTGCAGTATATATAGATATATATTTACACAGACCAGGACAGACACACAGAACAAAACGACAAAAATAACAAGTTCGACCAATAACGAAACACAGGAAGTCAGAACTAAACCCCCCAAGAGCTCTTTTGTGATCTTTGGCGCCTCCTTGTGGCTTTACCAACCACAGACGCGTCAGATTCAAACAATACAAGAACATTAAATGCAGCTTTATATACAAAAGGTTAGCAGAGGAGGAAAAAATAGGGAGTTAATACGGTGCATCTTTTTCTGACAGCCTCCACCTGTTAAAACATCTGATAAACAGGTCAGACAAGAATAATAATAATAAAAAAGATTCAGAATTAGGGTTAGATTGACAAACATTTCCAAACAAAGCAAAATCAGGAGAAAGAAATGTTAGTTTATACATCATTTCAGTTCTGGATTTCAAGACGTCCTTCGTTTTTCAGTAGCTGGAAATGGCATTAGGGAAAGAATAAATGTTGAACAATGAATCCTCTCATACAAAATGACCCAAAATGCAACATGACTGCTCACTCATACCCGACAGACAACATTATGGCGCTCATTCGTAAATGGAGAGAGAGATAAAGTTTCATGATCGACTCAAATAAACTAGGCTAAAGTGTATTTTTCAACAGTTTATTTTTCCGTTCGGATATATACAGACACCATACAAATCAAGTCACAGGTTTACGTGGAAATAGTCAACAGGCAGAGCCACACATTGCAGTTCCCACAAGAGAGAGTTTGACTAAAGAGGCGCTGTTTCATATATCTCATATATGTATAGAATATACTTTCTATAGAATACCATTGGAAATCAAATTCAATACAAGATATACGGCAGTCTATATTTGTCCATTATTGAATGATATAAAAAAACGAAACAGTGTGCAACGCATGAAACAGTTCATCTTAGCACATCGTCATGAAATAAAAAAATGAATAAGCAAAAACAATCAAACAAAAAAACAAAATAATGGCTCTGGGTCACAAATACATACTACATTCATACAAGTCGGTGCATTTCCGTCACGCTTCTCTATGTCTATGAAGGCCTTCATATCGTTCAGACTTCACACCGAGCGAGGAAACCGCGTCCGTGCGCCACCGCGGCAACTGCATCAACTAAACGAGCGGCTTTATAAACGCATCACAACGCAATGTGACGTCTCAGGGCGTCATGTGACATCATGTTAGTTTCACAGTTGAATGGTGGTCAGCACATCGAACAAGAAAGCTATGTCATCCGGAATCACATCTTTTTATCGTTGAGGGATCCGGCACTATGCCGACCGTGCAGCATCGGGACCTCAACTAGCATCACATTCCAGTATGACGTGGTTCACAAAGCCGCGGTCTTGTTAATAAAGATGAAACGGAGACACGGGGTGCGGTTCGTGGCATTCCGTGTGAAGTCTGACTAGCTAAACTAACCCATCAGAACTCAAAGGAAAGACAATAAATAGGAAAATAAATAGGAGAAACAGAGAAAATCTTGGCAAAGTGTTTGGAATTACCGCAAAAGCAATTTTGGGCGTTGTTGATGGCTATTGTCCGGGTTGGTGAACATTTAGCAATAAAATGACTGATTATGATTCAGTTCAGTGTGTTCATGTAACACAAGTTCGAAATCTGTCTTTTTTTGTCCAACCAAATGTCCTTTAAACTCAACCATGGCTGCCAAGGGGCAAGTGTCCAAGAAAGCCATGGTGATACCCACGATGCAATGCGGGTTATTAGGGGGAATAAAGCAGCGCTTGTTTGCTCCTCCTCACTGAGGACCCCCTTCCCATAATGCATTGCGGTCGTACCACCACCACCAAGGGCTCGTCTAATTGAGGAGAAGCTGGAAAGCCCTTTTAGTTGAAGAAAGGTTGGAAACAGAAGAGCAAATCTGGAAATATCGACAAAAACAGTTCAACACTTTGGTCACGGGGAGCGTGGACAGAAAGGGTTTAAGGGGGGGGGGAGCAATGGATCGCAAAAATGCGTAAACATCTACACTGGAGATGATGGCGGATGTAGTATGATTATTGGCTTTTTACAGGGCAAAATAGTGATGATGTGTCGAGAAATAATAAAATAAAATAAACCCCTTCCCTCTTCCTGTTCTCTCACAGAATGGAAAATCATGGACAGACGCCACATTAGACCAATGACAAAAATATCTGAATGGTCGTTTTAAGTATCATGGAAGCACTGTGCTTGGTTTCCTGTCCTCTGCTGACATCTAGTGGCAAAGACACACACTTATGAAATGATATTCATGAGAGAATGTTATGAATTATGAGGTGACAGGAAATATTACTAAATCGGCAAACTGTTCTTTTTATATTATTCAATAATTACATGAGCTTTAGTCTTTCATAAAAAATAAAAAAAAAGTAATTATTATTTTTTATAACATTTTTAACAAAATATTTAATTATGGCTTTCTTTAAAATGTAAATATTTTATTTTTATTTAGTGTGGAGCAAAATGAGTTGTTACCGATTGCAATCAAAAAATCTTACATTTTTCATTCAGTCTTAATTTATTGGCACTGGCATTTATATATTTGAATATATATATATATATATATATTTGAATATATATATATATATATATATACATATAATTTTTTCTTTCTTTCTTTGTAGGTGACTGTCCAAATGCTATCATTTACTCTACTAGTGGTAACAAATTTACTCTTTCACTATGACCCAAAAGACTATGATTATAAGGCCACTCTTGACTTGGAACAATAAAATAATATCTAACATAAATTATATGTATATGACTTTGAAAAAAGCTGCCGAAAACTCAGCATAGCAAACACAAAACAAATGCTTTCCTCATTTTTCGCATGCTATTTCTAAAAATTTAGCTCGGAGTGGCTATTATGATCCAATTGCCAATAAGATGACTGGTTAGAGAAGTCGTCGAAAGGGGAAATTAGTAACCAATCCAGATCTCCCAGCCGTCTTCGGAATGTCGTAGAGAGGCTGCGTGGCCCCTCCCTCCTTGGTCTGGCTCCTCCCACTCCCCCTCCCAGCCCTCACCTTAGGAAGGGCACAGGGAAAACATCAGTATCGGGGGGGGCAGGTATTTAAATCCAGAGAAGATAAAAAGCTAAGTTCCCTTGGTGTAACGCTTTTAAATTTACAGTGTATATAAAGGACGAGGCAAATCAAAATGGCGGAAATAATAGCATAAATCGAAGCGTCTTTCCTTGTCCTAAACATCTCTCGTCATTTTAATGTTTGCCTCCCTGCGTTTACTGTAATATGTAGCTATAAAAAGCATGTGGTCATGCGCTTCTGTGGTAGCAGAGGCAGGAGGGATTCGGCTACACTTAGCTCCGTACCTCCCTCTTGTGGTCAGAGATGGCATTACGCTCTCTGGCTTTGCCCTCCGCTGCCCTGGGTTTGAGGGGAAGGGGGTGATGAGACCTAAGGGCAGATCCACTCACTGCAGACCTAGAACCTAGACCTAGCTTCTCTCTAGCTCACTGGCCGTCTGAAAGCAGCAGGGGCTGCTGGGAGATCTGCAGTCAGGGGAAGTCCAGCACTCTCAGTAGTGGGAGTGCGTGGTGCTCTGCATTAGCTGCCTCATACTTACTGTGAAGATGTTGGAGCGCCGTTTGGACTGCTTGCGGATGGGCGTGGGAGTGTTGGAGGCGGCCACCGTCTCGATGCGCATCTCCCTCTGGCTTATGCTGGGGGTGGAGGGAACGGAGGACGAGTAATCGCTGAACGCACCTCCTCCATTAGCAGCCTTGAACAAACAGAGGGGGAATGGGGATAGATAGATAGATAGATAGATAGATAGAATGACAGACGGACAGGCAGAGAGACAGAGAGACAGACAGACAGACAGATAGATAGAATGACAGACGGACAGACATACAGAAAGAGAGACAGACGATAGATAGATAGATAGATAGATAGACAGATAGACAGACAGACAGAATGACAGACAGACAGACAGA